CGCCCTCTCTCACCAGACATCCAACACCTTAGGCGCCCAGCTCCTCAACGCCCTCCTCATCTCCATAGAATAAGCCTCTACCCTAGTAACTATCTCAAGTACTACTCGAAGGTTAGCCTCTAGATGGGTAGCCCTCTCAAGCGCTAGCCTCAATTGCCCAGCGACATCCTTTCGTGTCTGCCACCTGAGCTTTACTTGCTCCGCGACATCCTCTCGTGTCTGCCGCCCAAGCCCTACTGCTCCGTGGCATCCTTTCGTGTCTGCCACTCGAGCTTTACTTGTTCCACGACACCTTCTCATGTCTGCTGCCCGAGCCTACTTGCTCTTCAGCAGCCCCCATGCTTGCCTCTCTGATATACCAGAGGTCACAGACCTCCAAAGCCTCTTGTGGACCAAAGTCAAGTTAAAACAGGACAGTTATATGGAGCTACACCGCCTTGGTGAACCCCACTTTCTCACGTCACTGCCTCATCGCCTTGGTGAACCTATATAATGAAAGTCCTCTGCACATAAAAGGTAGGCCTTCATCACCTTGAGATTCCTACACATACTACACCTTCCTACACACATTGATTCTCTCTCTCTCTCCCTCTAAGACTTGTAATACTCCTGGAGAATACTCTCTCCAGCGACTTCATTCATTAATAAAAGATCCAGGTCACCGCTGCCGTTCCCGAGAGTGGAGTAGGTCACCCGGACCGAACCACTATAAATCTCTGTGATGTTTCTTTATTTACTGTTTTATCATTAATTGTTTGTTTCCTGCTCATTGACTGCCCCCATTCATATTCTTGACTGTTGATCTTGCGCAAACCGATTTATGTATCATCAAAATCAATGACAATAATTAATAAAATCTATATTTTAAGTCTACGTTTTAAGTCCATTTAACATTGTTCGATTGGTGTTCATAGTCGAATTCGCGCTTTGAGAGGGAATTCTCCGTTAATTCACACTCACATTTTATAAAATCCACGAATTCAAAATTTTGATTTGTGAATTAATGCTCTTACTTAAGGGTTGTTTGATAACATTACTTAAGGTTTAAAACTGAATATTTTAAGCATTTAATAAATTAAATCTGTTTGATAACCTAAAACTCATATCACTTAATATTTTAAAACACTTCTTAAAAATAAATTAAAATTTTAAGTAACAAGCTACCTATTTATCACTTAATGCTGAAAATGTTAGTCAATAAGGATTTTATCAATTTTTCATAATGGACAAATATATACTCAATGTATTTTAAATTCTTAACTTTTTAATAACCACCATCTACCACCACCACCACCATTATTGTGTAGTTGCACCACCATTGTGCCAGCGCCACCACGATCATTGTCACTACCACTGCCACCGCCATCATTGTCACTGCCACCACCACCACCATCATCACCACTGTCATCGCCGCCACCACCATCACCACTGCCACCGTCACCACCATTGTATCACCGTCACCATCATCGCACCACCATCGTATCATCATCAACACCACTACTAGAGTGCCACCGCCACCGCCACCGCCACCACTATCACTATCAGCACCACTATCATCACTGCCACCACCACTATTGTGTCGCCACCATCACCATTGTGTCGTCGCCATCACCACCACCATTGCCGTCACCATTGTATTGTCATCACCACCACCGCCGCCATCGCCACCACCATAGTGTCAATGTTGCTACCACCACGACCACCACCACCATTTGTGAATATGATGGTAAGAATAAGGTAGTTACGGAGATATGGTTAAAAAAAATAGCAAAATTAAAATAATAATAATTTTTAAAATTCAGCTCCTTATATTTGTCAAATAGTTTAATTCAATTCAATACTTAAATTTCAGTTGATACCAAACAGTCTGCGAATTAACAAATTCAGCATTCATCACTTAAAATTCAACACTCAGTTTTCAGTATTCAACTTTCAGTTTTATCAAACATCACCTTAATTATAAGTTTACTCATTATTACTTAGATTTTTATTTGGAAGCACTAACCTGTATATAAAAATACATATCAAACTATAATGATATTTGTAATGTATAATTGGTATTCAGTACCTTATAATCAATATATATTTAAAAATTAAATAATTTGTCACATAGTTATGCATGAAATTTAATTTTTTTTATAAATTTGTTTGTATAAACTTTTTTAGTTGAATATTTGTCTGGATACATATACTATGCATTCTCAAAACGCTTCCGCTCTCAATTATTTTTTAATTTTATCCCTTTTGCACTCCCGTTTTCACTTTCACTTCTTTCGCCATTGGCGTTCTATGAGAGAGAGAGAGAGAGTCCTTCCTAAAATGAATTAAGTAATGGAATTAGGAAAAGGAAAAGAAAGTAAAAAGATGAACAATTCGGCAAAAAAAGTTCCCTTTTCTTTTCCAGTATGAACTAAGCCATGAGTTATAGTGAAAAACTAAAAATATAATCAACTGTAGCTTGTGCTTGTTGTAAAAAAAGATGTACACAGTACACAGCCAAACAGTCTCTTCGAATAGGCCCGCCCTGGGGTTGGTCTGCCCCGGTCCAAAAGGGTTTACCTGGCCGAAGCCTGAGAAGCCATTGCACGGGCCACAGGAGTACACCAAGCCCACATGCTATCCAGAGCCCCTAAAACCCATCCAAGATTCAATTTTTAGATACGTTTCAGTTTTAATTCATTTGTTATGTAAGTAATAAGTTATAAATTACAAAATTGCAAGATATGTAAGTAATAATTTATGAACTTTTTAATTTATAAAATATAGTTTTAGGATATATTAATAACTATTTTTTGGGAAAAATTTCATCCACACCCTTTCTAATTTATCATATTTTCAAGGACACTCTCTCTATTATCAAGAACATCACTAACACCTATTTTAGTTTATATTTAAACATCATTGACACTCCATGCCATTAAATTACCATTTATAATAAAAATAAATTATCTAAAATACACAAATTATCCCTACATAAATTCCAAACAATCTTTTTACATAAATTTGATTAAAATTCGAGCTGATTAAAATTTATGTTTCTACATATTAAAATTTAAGCCAACTAAATTTTTTTTTTACATATTAAAATTTGAGTTAAGTTGATTAAGTTGATTTTTTTACATATTAAAATTTGATTCAAGTTGTTTAAAAGTTTTTTACGTACTAAAATTCGAGTCAATTTGAGATCTATTTGAGCTTAGAATCCCGATTAAAATTTGCTTTGAATCGATTAAAATTAATATTTTTTTATGGATTAAAATTCAATTCAACTTGATTAAAATTTATTTTTTAAGTATTAAAATTTGAGTCAATTAAAATTTATACTTTTTTATGTATCAAAAATCGGACGGATTAAAATTTAATGGGAGTTGATTAAAATTTGATTTGAGCTTTTAATAGAATTTTAATTGGCTCAAATTTTAATACGTAAAAATATATAATTTTTAATCAACTTAAATTTTAATATATAAAAAATAAATTTTAATTAGCTCGAATTAAATTTTAATCGATCCTAATTTTAGAATGTACAAAAATTTTAAAACTAGAGGGGGTCTCATTAAAGATATGTCTATCTAGAGGGTGTATGTATGAAATTTTTTCTAAAATATATCATGAATAATTTAATAAAATTACATTCTAATTAATACATTTGATCTGACAGAGGGTGCCATTAAACATTCAAAAAATAAAAGAGGTGTTCTTGAAGATATGATAAAATAAAATAGGTATAGTTGGAATTTTCCCTATTTTTTACTACAAAAAATAACCCGCTGGTTGGCCTAGCATGTCCCGCGCAATTGCCCCGCCCCCCAGTCCCCAGTCCATCTCGTGGGCCAGAAGCTAGGCTATCACTTTTGGACCCATTACTAACAACTTGACTGGAGGGATCCGTTTTCTTTTCTTTCTTTCTGTTTTTTTTTTTTTTTGGTTCATTGCGGTTCACACCTAACCATACAACATAGCCAGATGTCACTTTGGATTCCAATGTCTGTATTTCCGTCAGTTCAAGACCTAGGGTGCTATGCGCAAATTTTGAAGGTACGGTTGATCGATGACAACTACTTGTTTTAAGTTGGAAGATTTTTGTATGCATGCATTTCATAGTCGAAAGCGAATCTAATGCTTAGTGAGAAACATGAAAATTGAATTTCAATTAGAAATTGCAACAACTACTCTCGTTCAATTACAAATCCGAGAATTTAATTGGGGAGATCATGGCAGATGAGACATGATACCTAATTTTTCTCTTTCGCCTTATAGTTCTATGTTCCTTATTTAGTCCACCCAACTACTATCATCAAACAGGCGGTGGGGTGCAAAGCTTTGATCGAATAGATACGTTTCATAATCCACGCCTTCTGATTCTGATTGAATAGTTGTTATCTCATCAAATAGTTAGTTTTTTTGATCAAACTAGAAGTTGCCAAGCTCAAAAAAAGTCAAGGTCTATCGGAAGTCAAATCAAAGAGGACACTAACTTAAGCTTATTATCTAACTTCATGTAACTCCGTTGAAACTCTAGCTCTTCTTGCCAAAACATGCGTCTACCTGAACAACATAATTGCGTTTCTTTGTCAGCACATTGACCGGATTGACGTCGGAAGAAATATATGTTTTCTTGATCAAGCCAGAGAGGGGACCATTCCTTCATGCTCGACTTCATTATGTTCTCGTTTTTTTTTTTTTTCGCTTTCCTTGCTTTATTGTTTTGTTTCGCTCTTATAATTTATGGCCTTTATCTCAACACTTCAATCTTTCTAAAGGATTATAATATCTCCTTAAAAGAGGCAAAAGATGACTTTGAAAAAGGAACTACAAGGTTGCCAAATCCTTTATTTTTTCTCTTGTTCATTGATTTCATATCTCTTTAAATATATAAGGATAAAATTGCATATATCTTATTGTCTTTAGACCATCTAGTAACACAAACCTCTTACATTAAGGTTTTTTTTTTTTCAGAATGATTAACTTGTCTCTTGCTAACACTCAATCATTGCTGCATGGGTGAATTCCTGCAATGAGTAGACTTCTAGAGGATAAAATTCGGCTCCTTTCTCCTACCCTTCCAAGCCACATTGACGACCTCCAAATTCCTGGCACCACTATCATCTATCCTAGTGGGGCTGAGCTCAGGGAACTCGATGAGATCCTCGGTGTTGGTAAAGGCTCCCTTAGAAGGCATCAGGCTACGCTCAGTGGTGAAGAGCTAGGCGGAAACCTCGGTGAGCTAGCTGATCTCAAAGGCTAGTGAAGCACTTACCATTTTTTTTTTCTTCTTTTACATGTATTTGCTCTCCTCTTTTTTTTTGATATGCATGGGGGATGCACAACCCCTTGTTTCTTTTATCGATGTAATCTTCATTTCATCAATACAATCTTCCTTTGCTTCATAGGTTTTTTTTTTTTTTTGATTCGGGTAAACTACGTTAACAATTTTTGAATCTTTAAGTTCATCAAAATGTTAAATGTTTTTAAAACATATAAAGATCGAGCTCGAGCGTCATGAAATCCTTTCAAGGATGGTGCTCCAAGTGTTGGGGACTTACCCCTTTCGGGGCCATACCCATAACGGCTAAGCGCTAGACTCGTGTTAAATTTTTTCAAGGGCAGTACTCCAAGGGTGAAGGCTTACTGTAAAACCCGAAAAATTTTGATTTTTTTTATGAAAAAGGGTAAAACGGTAATTTATCACTATAGTACGGATTAAAAATTCATATTTTTTTAGACCTCAGATGACAAAATGGACCTCACAGTTGGATTCGTATTACGAAATCTAGTTATCCAGACAAATTTTGTCAGATTCCAAGATAATCGGATATTGCATGTTTTACGAGGTGATCGGGTCTCAGGTGACCCAAAAATGATATTTTTAATAAAATTTTAAAAGTTGAAAAATAATTTAAAGAAAGTTCATATAAAATATTTTGAGTTTAAATCAGAACAAAATTTAATCGTTTTGAGGAGAAAATGGACCTAGGAATGGGGGGGACGTGTGGCGTGACGTGGACCAAGAGTTAAAGTGTATAAATAGGAATAAAAATTTGATTTCTTCACACAAATCTATGTTGAATTCAAGTGGGTTTAACCTTGGAAGAGGAAGAGAGGAAAAAGAGAAATTTCAAAACTTCTTTCTCAGATCTACGAAGTTCCACCGATCGATTTTTTTCAGGCCAAGAGTTAAAGTCGATCTACGCGACGAGGGTTACGCCTACATACCAAAAGGAAGGATTTCACCGAAGTTTCAAAAATAGAATTTTGGAGAAATCAAGGTTTGAGCTTGGGGGTGTATTATTGGAGCTTACCAACGTTCTTTTATGCTTCAAGAGGTAGGGTTTTCATCCTACTTAGGTTTATTTCCAACCTAGGATGATTGTATGAAATGGGTAAGTTGTTAGATTCGATTTAACAAATGCTTATTGTATTGAAATATTAAATGGGTGGAATAAATTCTATCTTGACTTGAATACATAGGAATTGTTAGATTGTGATTTTGTGAAATTTTGATAATTGGGCATGTGGAAATCACTAAATGTGATTTTTTTATTTATGTGATGATTATGAGCATTTTTATGTGATAACATGATTTGGTGTCTTGAAGATGTTTGACAAAATAACTATGTGAAAATTAAGTGTGTTATTGCATAGATTATGTATAACATGTTTAGGAAAAATTATTGATAAATGTGAATGTTGGTATATGGTTATGATATATATTGGCATTGTGATAACTTAAAGTTATATGCTTTGGACATAATTTGTCATGAAAATGTTGAATGTGGTTAAATTAGCCCAAATGACATTCATTACATATGGGGCATGACATTGATATTGCAATGGTACATTACATTGCATTTGCACAGAGGCATTACATCCATAGGCATGAGACATGAGTGTGGGTGTGTGTGCATAGTTGATCAAATATCATTCTTGGTGGAGGATATTTGAACTCGGAGAAAGTAGGATTGAAAATTTGACTGAGTAGTATAGTTTGCATGAAAGACTTGTGTCGGGTATAGCAATTAGGGCTAGATTCTCCCTCGGGTGCAAGACCCGATTACTTGGTTCATACACTTCCCTGTGGTGCAGTTTCGAAAAAGTGTATCGGTGTGCGGAACCGGCGGTGCGACACCAAAACTTTGCTACCCAACAAAGACAGATGATTTTGTTTTATAAAATAGTCATTCGATGTGTAACATCCAACAAAAATACATGATTTTGTTTTAAAATAAAGACATATGATTTTTATTTCAAAATAATCATTGGATGTATTTCATCAATGATGGGTTTATACACATTGATATTGCATTGTGTTGTGGGAGTCGGAATAGGCTCGGGTTTAAGTACATGAGCAAGTTTCATCTCATTTCATGGCATGACATGGTAATTTTCAACATTGAATTGCAGATTTTTGTTTGGAATGGTTGTTGCTTGTTGAATGTTGCATGTGAACATTTCATATGCACTTAGGTTGTGGAGTAGTCTCTGTAGGAGATATCCTATTGAGTGTGACTCACCCTATATGGGAAAATATTTTAGGTGCGGGGTTCACGCCGGTGGAAGGCTCTGAATCGGAGCCCAAATGTTGAAGAAAAGCCAAAATGTGGCTTTAAATGATGTTTTTTGTAAAATTAGACTTGTAATTTAGTTTTTGGCATGTAATGTATGTAAAAGATTTGTAATTTGAACTTGTATTAACTATGTTTAATGCAAAACTTCATGACGTGGGAGTATGAATTGATGTATATTGGACCTCGGAATGGTCATGTGATTAAATGTTGTTATATGTATACTCATAAATGGATCTGATGTGGTCAATGTTGTATATTATACCTCGGACGGGTCATGTGATTGTATGATTACATATGTTGTGTTTTGGGTAGAGCTCTCCGTACAAAGGAGACTCTGTCCGAATTATGTTAAATTATGGATTCCGATAAATGAGGCATAATGGCGTGATATCGAGTTACACGGTATCCACGGGTATTCCGTAGGTTGATGGGTGATCAATGGATTAACAAAGGACCCCCGATTTTTTGGGCGTCACACTTACCCCTCTCGGGGTCATGCTCCTAACGACCAAGCGTGAGACTCATGTTAAATCTTTTCGAAGGCGGTGTTTCAAGAATAGAGGCTTACCCCTCTTAAGGTCGTACCTCTAACAACCGAGTGTGGGGCTTGTGTTAAATCTTTGAGATCTAACACTAAGGAATCAACTTAGTAATAATATTTCTTCACATTTTATACATTCCAAGGTCGGCTTACACCTTTTCCATCTATGTCTTGTAGTCGATACGCCCTTTTGCCCCTTACAGCAACAATTTTGTATAGGCCTTCCTAATTGGGGCGGAGCTTATCATCTGTGAGTTCCCGAATATTTTCAGTGACTTTACACAACTCTAGATCCCCTACTTGAAAACTCTTCATTTGGGCTTTCCTTTGATGTTGTCTTGACAATTCTCCTTGATATTTTGCTAGCTTGATAGATGTTAATTCTCTTATTTTCTCAGCCAAATTGCGATCCTTGGCTAGTGTCTGATCATTATTTCCCGATTCAAAGGCTTGACTTCGTATGGTTGGGAGCCCCAACTCTAAAGGAATGACAACTTTAACTCCATATGTCATAGTGTAGGGCATTTCACCTGTAGAAGTTCTCGGGGTCATCCTACATGCCCATAGCAAATTGAGTAACTCATCGCCCCATCTGCCCTTAGCTTTCTCCAACCTTTTCTTAATTCTAGCCAAGATCGTCTTATTCGAAACCTCCTCTTGTCCATTACATTGTGGATACGCTAGGGTAAAATAATAGTTGCGTATTCCAAATCCCGAACAAAACATCCTGAATGGTCCACTGTTGAATTGAGTGTCATTGTCCGAGACGATGACACAAGGAATGCCAAACCAAGTAATAATGTTCTGTTATACAAACTTCTTTATTTCAAAGTTTTGAATACGGCTCAAAGGCTCGCCTTCAATCCACTTTGTGAAGTAGTCAGTAACAACTAGGAGGAATTTTTTGTCTATAGACGCCCTCGAGAGAGGCCCTACTATATCCATTCCCCATTGGGAGAATGACCAAGGACTTATCAATGGGTTTAAGTCTCCCACCGGTTGTTGGATGATAGGAGCAAACATCTGACACTTATCTCATTTTCGAACATTGCTCTTAGCATCTTTCTGCATGTTCGACCACCAATACCCCTAAGACATCGCTCGGTGTGCGAGAGATCTTCCTCCCGTGTGACTCCCACATATACCCTCATGAACCTTATAGAGCAAAGGTTCCACTTTATCCTCAGGGACACAAAGTAAATATGGCCCCGAAAAGGATCTCCTATATAACTTGTGATCGGAGGATATCCAGAACTTGGAAACTTTCAGTTTGACCTTCCTGGCTTTTTTCACCTCCTCGGGGAGTATTCCCTCCACTAAATACTGGATTATGGGGTCCATCCAACTCAGAGGCACATCTTGAACACAAATAAGCAGTACTTCCTTGGCGCTTACATCTTCTATGTTCTGATTTTCCAAGTAACAATTGTAATACGCTAAGTTACCTCCGAAGTCAAAGTCAAGGCAGGGCAGGCTAGTGCATCAACATAGCTATTATAGTCCCTTAAAATTTGGGACACTTCTATCTTTTTGAACCTCTATTTTCTTGACTTTGCTCTCTGATGATATGCCTTCATCCTATCGTCTCGATCTTCAAAATCTTTTTTGATTTGATTTACCACCAACTTGGAGTCACAGAAAATATGAAGGTGTCTAACCCCGACCGAGTATGCAATCTCAAGTCCAGCCAACAACGTCTTGTACTCAGTCTCATTATTAGATGCTTTGAATCCAAGTCTTATAATTCGTTTCATTGTGTATCCTCTAGAATTGACCAAGATTACACCTACTCCTGCCCCCTTGCGTTCGAGGATCCATCCATATGTAAACTCCAAACGTCATCACTGTCAAAAGCCAAATTCCCCTCCGGCGGAGACTCGAACGCATAGAATTCGGTAATAAAATTAACAAGGATTTATCCTTTGACAAAAGTTCAAGATTTATAGCTTATCTCAAACTCTTCTAACTCCACGGCCTATTTAGCAACTCATCCAGACATGTCAGCTTTATGAAGTATGGGTTTAAGAGACTGATCGGTCAAGACCTCAATAGGATGGCCCTGAAAATAATGTTTAAGTTTCCTTACTAAGACGACCAAGGCTAAGATAAGCTTTTCCATCGGCAAATATCTAGTCTCGG